GGCAGGCAGACTCCCAACCACTGCACCACCAGGGAAGCCCATGTTCGTCTTTTAATTGAAAAGTTAACATCCATTTTTTGGGTGTTAACTGATATTTAATCATATTCCTATCATTATATTTTGGGTTTTTGTGTGCCCAAATAAATGCGTTCTTATGTCTTCTGTTTTCTTTGTTGTATTTTGCATTAGCACATGTTTAGTTTCCTTTTCTGTTGACATTTTAGAATTTATTCATGTTATTGTTAGTCTATTATATTTTTAAATTGTGCCTTGATTTTGGTGCCAATATCAAGAACAAAACGGGATCTGTGGGATCCTTCTTCTATCCCCAAATGAGACAATTATGGAAGCACATGTTGCCCTTCATCTTCCATATTTTGTTGAAACAATTTGTAGTGTTGGTTACAGATATTCTAATTTTTACATTATGACTATTCACTTTCAAGAACTTACTCATAGCATTTACACTAAGCTTCACAAGTATATTAACAATAACAACTATTTAGAATAAATAATAAATTTTACTGGGTTCATTTCTCACAATAGTTTTTTCATGATTACTCCTTTCTAGATGTATTCCAATTAGTTCTCCTTTTTTGAAATGTGAGGTCAACACAGTATTCTGTACCCCTGGGTATGTAGTTGTATTTTTAGGGGGGTGCTGTGCCGTGGCATGCGGGATCTTAGTTCCCCAACCAGGGATTGAACCCATGCCCCCTGTGGTGGAAGCACAGAGTCTTAACCACTGGACCTCCAGGGAAGTCCCTGTAGCTGTATATTTTTGATAAATCTCTAGAGTGTTTGAACAATGTTTAAATGTGGATGTCTTTAGCCTGGCCATGCTCCACAGTTCACCACAGTCTCCATTGCTCCCTCCTGCCTGCTTGATCTACCTGCCTGCACAGCAGTTTGTGTTTATAAATTCTCTTCTAGACCTTCCTAGAGTGCATATAATTTCAAAAATCCAAATGTTTAAAATACAATCCCAAGTTCTTATATTGAGTGACACTCTGTCTTTTCTTGCCTGGACTTAGGCTTTGGAAGACCGAGTATGGGAACTCCTGCAGGAAGCAGACAAGACGGCTCAAGAGAACAAGGATCAGAGCCAGGTCTATGATGCCATGGCCAAAACTCTGGGTGAAGCGTGGGCAGCCCTGGTCTCCATGCTTGAGAGAAGGAGGGAGCTTCTCAGGTTGACCTCTGAATTTTTTGAAAATGCCTTGGAGGTTTGTGTTTAAAAAACTTTCCCCTTCTCCACATCAGAGCACTCCTGAAAATGTTTTCTTTCTGCAAATAGACATTGTAGTCAGTTCAAAAAATGGTAGAATAAGCAAGATATATACATTTAATCTTTAATTTTCAAAAAATAAAATTGTTAATATTTTAAATGTAGGCCTTCAAACAAAAACTAAGTACAGTTAATTAAAATTGATAAATATTAAGTAAAAATGGGATCTTTTACCCATAAGTCATTTTGATATATTTCCCTCTTTAGATAATAGTAATACAATTACTAAATCAAATAATTACCCCTGATGATAGGATTACTAGGAAATGCTGGTCTAGCCTGTTCTTGTTAACTGAAAGTTGGAAGATACAATTTCTTCTACTGCTTATGAAAAAGAAATTGCAGAATATTCCATAGAATGTTTGACTTGTAAGCATAGTATATGATAGAGAACTTTCCTAAGCCATATAGTTGAGTTTCCATAGTTTAAGCTTGTTAAAATATAAGGGAAGGAAAAAGTCCTGGGCCTAAGTTTTTTTGAGGAACCCAATTTCAAAATGTAAGATTCAAAGAACATTATCAAAAGAGGTGTTATATTTAGTGTAAGATACTTATTGGAAATTTCACTACATTCATTTTGATGTGAAAGCACTGCTTCATTATGATAAAGCACTAGGTTGAAAAATATGACATTTCCAAACTGAAAATTCAGGACCTAAATCCAAAATAATGAAGGAAAGAAGATTAGTAATAGAACATTAAAATTGAGGTAGATAATTTCATACATCATGAACTCGTTTAAAAGTTAAAAGGAGGAGCAAAAATCTTATTGTAACTCTCAAGGTTTGTTTTTCACAATTTGAACACTGAAGTCCAACTCACAGATCATCTCGGGGAAAAGTTCCACACACAGTTTTCTTTTCTGAAAAGAAATAAACCAAGCAAAATACACCTACAGGGGTCAAATTATAGATACATCTGATTCATTTCATCTTAGTAAGTGGGGTATAAGTATTAGTGCCCTTGAAATTCAGGTCATTTGAGCATAGGAAGTTATCTTTTTTTAAACATTAAGTCCAATATTTGTTTCTCACTGGGCAGGAGCATTAATACTAGCTGATTTTCTATATGATGAGAAATGACTTCCAGATATTACATGAAATAAAAGGAAGTGTAAGTCAACCTGTAATTCAACCCAGCATTCTGATTCCTCATGAAAAGATGAAGTTTCATATATTATCCTCCTTCCAATTTTGTGGACTACTTCATACTTAGCTGATGGAAAACTCCTACATGATTTTCCCTGCCCCTTGTGTATGCCAAAGCAATTTTCATTAGTGATTCAAAAAAAAAGAATGAGGGTAAAATTAAGAATAGTGTCTTTGAAAAGTGGGTCCTGTTGCCACTTCTATCCTGTACTACCTGCAGAAAGAAGAAAAGTAGGGAAAAGAAAATATCCCCGAGATAAAAGTTAATAGAACTTGAAGGAAGCTTTTTCTGAGTAAAGCATTATTTATTTATTGGTTTGTTTTTTTAAAAGTGTCAAACCAGTTGAAATATAGATATAAGTTACACAGTGACTCCAAAACTTCTTGTAGTGATCTACAGGGAGAACCAAACTACCCACCAGGGTTTTGTTTTATTCTTTTTCTTTGAAGTTTCTCTTCAAAGAATGTCTTTAAAGTCAACTATTAGAAATAGAATGAATTAGAGATGTAAACGATATGTAGATAGGATCCACTTACTGAACTATGTGCACGCAGGAGTTCTTTAGAAATACAAAATGACTTCTTATTGCGTGGTTGATAGTACACGATGGCTTCAGGCTCACAGGCTTCTCAAACACTGTGCTTCAGTTTAGAAACAGTGTCCCCAAGTGACAGTGTCCATCTGCTGGTTCTAACAGGATGGTAGAAGCCTTCTCTGCATTTCAAAAGGGGACGTGCTCATCAGTTGCTCTCTCATCTTTTCATGCCATTTATAACTGAATTTTATATGGCTATTGTAATAATCAAAATGTAGTAAATCTTGTTAATCAAATAGTCACATAAAAATATTAAATATCACTAAATCCAAAGATGAGAGTTTGGATAAAACTTGAAAAAAGGTGACAAGCACTGTGATAGGCTTCTGTGTCTTTCTCACTGATACTTCACCTTTATGAGTTTATTCTACACCTGATCCAAAGGTGAATGTGTTGATTTAAATGCTCTTATAAATGATACTAATTTCCTTTGAACCATAGTGCTAAAACAAACCAGTTATTTGTCCACTACTATGGATATACTGTACTAGCATAACCAAGTATATTTTTCCCTTTTCTGAAATTTGTATCTAAGGTTATTCCCCTGAGAATTTTGACATCACTTCAAGTATCTCCCTTTCATACTTCCTCTATGGAGAAACACAAAAAGAGAGACTGGTCATGTTCGTTACCACTTAGGGTGTCAAATTGCTCTTCCTTTTTTTTCTTGAAACAGAGGAGAAATTTTCTATTTTTCATTCTTGCTACATCTAATTTCATTTTTATTTCTATAAAAGTACATAAAATCATTGATAAAAATGCAAACAAAATTATAAGTTATAGATTTAAAAGCTAAAAGTTTACCACCCCTCACCTATCCCTAATCCTATTCATTCTCACAAAGGCAACCCTTTGCTATGTATCTTTTTGGACCACTTTCTGTACAAATATATGTATTTTTGCTTTGTATAAGAAATAGGATTACACATTACTTCTCCTCACTCGGGCTAAAATCAAGTGTAGAGATGGGATTAGACTATGTATTATTCTGAAACTTACCTTTTTTAGTTCTAGGTCTAATTATAGAGAAAAAAATGAACTATATTTCAACCTCAAGTGGATACTTAAGTTAAATTTACTAATAATTATGTAGGTTACTGGCTAACCAAACTTTTGTTGGTTTCTTTTAACAAACTTTCTGGTTGTTCTTTGAGAAACTGCTTTAGAATGTTGACAGTGGCTGTATTTGTATTATGGGACACAATAATTTTAGTTTAAAATTTCAATACACATTAGTATAGTAAACAAATTGGTTTACTTCAGCATAGCTAACATATTTCCAGGTATGAAAAGAATGCAAAGGAAAGAGAAGAAAGTTCTTATCCTAGTACTTTGTAAACTGACTACCTGCAAACACAAAACCTCATACAAGCACGTGAGCCAGCACATGCTCACACAAACACACAGCTCATCACACAAACACATACACAATCAGCTAGGCCATTAATTCATGAAAAATGTTTACAAATAACTAAAAGTGGCACAGTGTTTTTTAGTTTTTCATATGTCTTTCCCCTGCATTTCTGTTGTAGTTTGCCATTAAAATAGACCAAACAGAAGATTTCCTCCAGAACACTCAGGAGTTTGAGAGTGCCGAGTCCTTGAAATCACTCCTTCAGCTTCATGAACATCATACCAAAGGCAAGAACTATTTCTTCCTCACATAAGCTTTTAAAGCTGGTAATATGGGAATGCTCATGCATGACAGTATATTTTTAATTTATCTGATTATGTATACCTCAACTTGTTCCAAGTAAGGTTAAATAAAGCCTTATTTCTGGTCATATTCTGCAAGAAAGAACTGGTTGTAAATGATTCTAAGGGGCGGTAGAGGAAGAGCCTCTGGGAGGTTCAGTTATGCAGTCTGCTAGATCTTAGTTCCTGAGGAGGAGCCATTTCCACCTCGCTCATCCTTACATATCCTCAGCATCTAGCGAGGTCTCGGCACTTGGTGGATCCTTGTGAAATATTTCCTTTTTTTATAAAGTTTTAATTAATTAATTTTATTTGTTTATTTTTTTGGTTGTGTTGGGTCTTTATTGCTGCACGCGGGCTTTCTCTAGTTGCGGCGAGCAGGGGCTACTATTTGTTGCGTTGCGCGGGCTTCTCATTGCGGTGGCTTCTCTTGTTGCAGAGCACGGGCTCTAGGCATGTGGGCTTCAGTAGTTGTGGCACGTGAGATCAGTAGTTGTGGCTTGTGGGCTCTAGAGCGCAGGCTCAGTAGTTGTGGTGCATGGGCTTAGTTGCTCCGCAGCATGTGGGATCTTCCCAGACCAGGGTTCAAACCCATGTCCCTTGCATTGGCAGGCAGATTTTTAACCGCTGCGCCACCACGGAAGCCCCTCATGAAATATTTCTTGATTGAATAAATGGTTGAATTCAGTGACTGTTTCTTCTAAGGGTCAGGAAATGAAGGTCACCCTTTCAATAACAGCTCTGAATAAGGAAATTTTCCTTCACTATTGGACTTTAAAAAAAAAGGATTAGTGAACTTTTTCCAGATAAAAATCTAATAAAACACTATATAAAATTATTTTCAACTCCCCCCAAAACAACTGTAAAGATTGTCTAGTTGTTAACCAACAATTTGTATGCTAGGCCTTTTCCACCAGAATTTGGGCTGGACCAGGGCTGTAGTAAGAAAGGCATTTGTAGAAGAACACCTGTTTACTGTAATCTTTTTCCGTGAAAGCAGATTAGATAAATAGATAGGAACAATCACTTCTTTTCTTCCTAATGGGTTCTTCCAATTATTACTGAGTACAAGTGGATGGCTTCCTGAATTCATTTGTCTTAGTTCTAACTCACCTTCTAGCTTCACAAACCTGGTCGTGCTAGACAGGGACAAAAGGTGTTTTTAAAGCCACAGACAGATTGTGTTTATATCACCCTCCAAAGGACCCTAGATAGTAGATCATTATTTTTCTAAAACTCAAAGATTAAAGGACTCAATCTTTCCTGTGTAAATTTTTTGAGATCTGACTACATATATACCTATAATTTTAACAGATTACTGTTCTGTAGGACCTGTCACTAACGGGTTATAAACAGCATCAAAAGCATCAGCATTATGGGGCTTCCCTGGTGGCGCAGTTGTTGAGAGTCCACCTGCCGATGCAGGGGACACGGGTTCGTGCCCCGGTCCGGGAAGATCCCACATGCCGCGGAGCGGCTGGGCCCGTGAGCCATGGCCGCTGAGCCTGCGCATCTGGAGCCTGTGCTCCGCAACGGGAGAGGCCACAACAGTGAGAGGCCCGCGTATAGCAAAAAAAAAAAAAAAAAGTATCAGCATTAGAGCAACGGCCTGCCCATTTTTATACAGCGACAGCAATCTAGCTGTGCCCAAAGTGGGTAAACAGACGCATGTGAAATTCCTCTTAGGAGACTGGAAAGTGACTTGAGTCCAGGCCACTGAGATGGGCTCTGCGGCCTCAATTCAATCTTCATGCCACCAACAAGATCATCACAAAGCAATTTCACCTCCAGAAACCTGACAGTGACTGATGCTTCTGATGAAGAGGTTCAGTACTGAGGCAGTCAAATGAAAGCATTTTCCGGAGGGACTGGAGGGGGAGGTTGTGGAAGTAGGGACTTTGCCATAAATATTTGGGGATGCAGCTAGAAGCGGGGAATGCTTAAATGCTGTTGTTAATGTTGGCTCCTTCAATTACTAGGATCTGTGACTCAGTGAGCCGGTTTTCATGGGGCACATGCTGCTTTGTTTGGAGGGCTTAGGCTACAGGGCCCTGGCATCCCGCTGATGGTGGAACCAATGCCCTGCCTTTCAGGGGTGTCCACGGGGCCTCCTCTTAATCTAGAAAGATGGATAACAGTGCTAGCCAAAGACAGGAAGCATAGTTTATTTTTGTGATGACAAAATATTCTTCCATCCTGGTGGCATGTTTATCATGACGTTTTTGTGTCCCTCTATGTGATACGTGAAGCACAGGGATTGCCGGAGACTCTAGTCAGGATATTTGGCTCCCAATTCATATGCCCAAGGGTAAAGGGTAGCTTCAACGGCTTTGTTTTCATAATATGGGAGTTGGTGAAATTTATTAATCAACTAATTCAGCGGAATATGATTAAGATTACCTGATTTGAAATACATATTCAAGAGCAAAACTCTGATTTTCAGTTAAGGATGTCATTTCTGTCTTGGTTCATTTAGGATGCTCTAACAAAATACCACAGATTAGGTGACTTATCAACAACAGAATTTTATTCCTCCCCATTCTGGAGGCTGGATGTCTGAGATCAGGGTGCAGTATGGTCCGGTGAGGGCCCTCTTCTGGGTTGCAGACTTCTCATTGTGTCCTCACATGGCAGAAGGGATTAGGGAGCTCTGTGAGGTCTCTTTTATAAGAACACTAATCCCATTCACGAGGACTTCATCCTCATGACCTAGTCACCTCCCAAAGGCCCCACCTCCTAATGTCATCACATTGAGCATTAGGATTTCAACATATGAATTTTAGGGGGACAGACATTCATATCACAGCAATATCTATTATCTTTAAATTTAAGGAAATAAATTATAGCTATAACTACAGCTAGCAATTATGATAAGTGAGATGTTGATCAGTGAGTAGCACAAAATGTGAATGTTAGGATAATGAAGGTTAATAACATGACTGGAAAAACTATAATCAAACTTATCCCTAATATTCATGGTATTTCAATTTATGTCAGAATCTATACTTTTTTCTTCTTCAGCAATGCTAAGGCTATGTTGCATGTCAGAGACTTATTCTGTAGTATTTCAGAGATCAGAACCAGGATGAATGGGTTGAAGGTTTTACCCTCTGGAAAGTTACAGAATACGTTCATTCCCTCCACTATGCGACAATCCTTGAAATAGTTGAAGCCTAACGTGTCCTCTCTAGTCTTCTCTCCTTTGGGTGGAACATGCCTAGTTAGTTAAAGTGTTTCCCAGCAAACATAGTTTCCAGACTACTTATCAGACTGATTGCTTTCAATTCAACAACACACAATTAAACAGTATTTTCTGAACCCGTGCCAGGTGAGAAAACCAGAGTCAAGTGTGTTGAAAGAGTACATGCCCTTGTCCTCAGGAAGCCTACAATTTGATGGGGCATGTATACATTTATTGGTGAATTCTCTCTGTTCTTTCTGTGGGTCCCTCTGTTACACCACCCGGCACACTGTGTAGTAATAATTTATTTCCCTGTTCTTCATCACCAGATTATGAGACTCTGGAGGACTGGGATTATTACATCTCTTAATCTCCAAGGTTTAGAATAACATCCAGCTCAAAGTATGTTTATTGAGTGTTATTTGTATATAATCCCAATTTAAGACTCAGTAGCAGATGCAAAATGAGCAATAAACAAGGTACTACAGGGACATTAAGGAGGAGAAAATTGGTTATAAACCCTGAAGAATCACAATTGCACCTTCCAGTTTTCCAATGGCCTTCTTTTTTTTTTTTTTTTTTTTTTTTGTGGTACACGGGCCTCTCACTGTTGTGGCCTCTCCCGTTGCGGAGCACAGTCTCCGGATGTGCAGGCTCAGCGGCCATGGCCCACGGGACCAGCCGCTCCGCGGCATGTGGGATCTTCCTGGACCGGGGCACGAACCCATGTCCCCTGCAACAGCAGGCGGACTCTCAACCACTGCGCCACCAGGGAAGCCCCCAATGGCCTTTTTAAAATGAACATAGCGCCTAAGAAGCTTCCTCACAGGAACAATCATATTATTACTTCCTTTTTCTTAGATGTTCTATGTATATTTTAAATGCAGCTGAGATATAGGTACTTTGGGGTCTATTATACTATTTTCTCTATGTTTGTGTATATTTTAAAATACCCATTAATGAGTTTAAGAAATACCATCTCATTGAGTAATATTTGGAATATTTAAAAATGTATTTGGAAGAAATGTCACCCATGTTCCCAGTGTCAGAATGTGACCTTGATGCTTTTTAGAAAATAGTCATTTGGAAAGGTTAGCAAGCTATAAATTCACTTTGACTTGTGTATATCTCTCATTTATCCATCTTAAGTTAGTTATTTATACTTAATATTGATGACAAACTGTAAAGTTATTAATATAAAGTATACTTTAATATTTTTTTAGATATAATTACAATTAAAACAGTTAAACAACAAAAATTTATTGACTATCTACTAGCCTTACATCACAAGGTGTTATGTCATAAGCGGGGCTTGTATATAGAGAACAATACAATCATTAAAATAAATGCACTGTAGAGATTTTGTATTTCTTGAAGTTCATGATATATCTAGGTAGTTTACCCCTGAGGAAAAATACATCACTTTGTATGATCAACTGATGGAATAAATAGCTAGGAAAGCATAAACAGTGAAAAAAAAATGGTAAGATGTAAGAAGCTGACAGAGGAAACTTAGAGAACAATTGATCCACTTTAAGCACCACTGTAGTAACAGGTAACAGACTGACCATACGCTGGGTGCATTTGTACACGTTAACTTGGGCTCAGGAGGCTGCATGCCTGGTGGTACCATGGTGGTGGTTATACCATTTTGGCAAAAGTTGAAACAGAAAACCAGAAAAAGATTGCAAATGGAAATTTTCGCTAATTATATGTATTTTGTGGGGACTAGAACAGGTTGGCCTGACCCATTGTCAGTCTGCAATACCCTGAGCATGGAAAGCTGTGCTTCCCTCTTTCATTTGAAAAGTCTGTTGTGAAAGAGCTAGTTAATGAAAGGAAGAAAAGAAGTACTACGTGGAAACCCCGCCACCTGCCCATACTTCCTGTGTGTGTGTGTGTGTGTGTGTGTGTATGTATGTAACTGTTCACAATATCATAACAAATTCTTGAATGTAAGGAAATATGTATACCTACATATGGAGAATCAATTATACTGATGATTACATTAAGACTCTACAAATCAAAACTCTTCAGTTTGATAGCCAAGGACTTCTATAACTTGTTTTCACCTCATTTTCAAGTTATTTCTTTTCCTTGCACGTAAGAATTTTTTCTAGACAGATAGGTTTTTTCTGCCTCTGTCCCTCTCATCTTGTTCATGTTTGTTTCCACTTCTCCTTTTAAGAGATTTACTTTAATTTGAATGCTCTCCCTGACTTTTCTTCTTCTGCTTGACTTATCCCATTCCCTGTCCTGCTTCCAAGAATATGGTTGTTTTTGTTGTTTGTTTTTTTGTATTATTAATCCTCAATCAAATTGCCCAGTGCACCTAATCACACCTTTCTTACTCTGAGCAGATAGCACCATCTAATACTTTATTGGACAGATCTAGGTCATATGGCATAAACGATTTGAAATTCTTTCCTTTTTATCTCAAAATATCTCTTTACAGCATCTTCCCTTATCTCAGTCTCTCTTCATCTCTCAAAAAAAGGTGTCAGTTTAAAGAGACAATCGACCCAAATACCACAGTCATTGCTGTGTTCTTTAGCTGTCAGATGCTAGAATGCTAAAGAGTGCCACAGCGCAGTGGGAAGAACACTGAGCTACTAACCAGAATGCATGGCTTTTAGCACTGATAAGTCCATTTCTAATAGTGTGACATACTTATATTTTCTGGGTGTTCTTCATAGTTCTCCCATCTAAAAATAAAAAGCAGTGTATTCAACCCTGCTGATAGTCTATCCTTTTTTTTTCTTCTAACAACAAATGTCTCAAAGATTGTCCTTTCCTGTTGATTTCACTTCATCACTGCCTTCCCACTTCTCAACCTGGAGACTTGGCTTCTGTTTCTATCACTTACCCGTCACAAAACCCCAAGTCTTCCCAACATCTCTTTTTTTATATCTCTGGCAGACTGCTGATCTCTAGCACCTATAGCTCTAATTCTTCCCCCTCTTTTAATACATTTGATTTCATTCTAGCATTATACAAAATTATCGAATACCTCCCCTGTGCCAGTCACTATGCTAGTGCTGAGGATACTGTCACCGTCCCTGTCCTCATATGTGCATTGGAGCCTAGTGGCAAAGACAGATTTTAGTCAGCTAACCCAATGCATAAATGTAGAACTAGCTGTGATAACAGCTGTGAATGAGAGGAACATCCGGCTATGAGAACACTTAATAGGAGGATTTGGTCCAGTCTGGTTTGTCCTTTGAGGAATTGACAATTGACTAAGACCTGAAATATGAGTAGAATAAAGGTGGAGAAGGAATGTGTTGAGGAGAATGGTATCCCTGGCAGAGAATGTAGTAAAAAGTTCTGGGGCAACAAGGAGTATACCATGTGTGAAGTATTTAAAGAAGATATGGATAGAGGTAAAGAGATTGAGACAATCTGAAAGGGAAAATAAGGACCAGACCCTGCCAGAACTGAAATCATGTTAAGGGGTCTGTCCTTAATTCTAAGACACTGGGAAGCCATTGGGGTGTGTGTGTGTGTGTGTGTGTGTGTGTGTGTGTGTGTGAGAGAGAGAGAGAGAGAGAGAGAGAGTGTTTAGAAATGATCTTTCTAATATATGGAGAATGGATGAAATGGATTGGAGAGGAGATGCAATTAAGAGGTGACTGCACAAATCCAGGAAACAGATGACGTTTTCTGGCTTGTGGGGAATGGGTAGTTTCCCAAGGGCTCTTCCAATGGAGCCCCAAGTGAGGTTGGGGACCCTCAAAGTGCCACTCTCAACTCCCCCATCTATACTCTCTCCCTTGGTAGTCCTTCAATTTTCAGGCTTAAGCTCCCGTTTCTACCAGATGTTGCCCACACCAATAATGCTGTCTACTCCAGAGAGCGCAAACCAGTGGCCCATTTGCCAGAGAGCCATGTTTTGTTGATCCTTCAGTATTTTTTAATTTAAAAAATACCAATTACACAACAGTTAAAAATCAGAAGCTTTCACATAAAAATCCCTGTTTATAATTCTTTAAAAATTGGAAGCCCCATCAACACTGACCCTGTATTCCCTCATGTCCACAGTTGGTCAGCACTGGGTGACAGCAGATCCTGTGAGACTGGTCATATATTTTCCACTTTGTCATAGTCCCTGACGTCTGGGTACCTGGCCTGCATATTCACTGAGCTTTTGTTTGGTTACTGCAGGCATTAGCCTTTAAACCTCAGATCTAGTCCAATCACCTCAGGATGTAGAGCGCTACAAGGAGAGTAGGCACCTTAACCAGCATATCACCACTAAAAACCAACTGAACCAGTGCCCAAATCTCAGTCTTTCCACTCCCCTGTACTGATTTATGCCATCACTGAACTTCGGCATCCTACCATTTGGCAGTTAGCGCCATAGCAGTTAGGCCAAGGTATTTGACCAGTTGTATTAGAGGCATTTTATGTTTACACATTTGAATTCCTTATTTTTAATAGAAGGTTACATATATTTTAAATTATATGATGAATCCAAATATTACTATATAAAAACTTGCTCATATCACTATTCTTTTTTCCAATTTTCTTCTAGAACTCTTAGAACGATCTCTAGCCCTTTTAAACAAAAGTCAACAACTCACTGACTTCATAGAAAAAATCAAGTGTGATGGACCTATTGTGAATCCCGAGATGATTCAGGGAGCTCAAAACAGCTGCCTGAAGATTGACAGTCTTCTTGAACTTCTCCAAGACAGGAGACGGCAATTAGACCAGTACCTGAAGCAACAGCAGCAGGAATTGAGTCAGGTTCTGCAGATATGTCAGTGGGACCAACAAGAAAGTCAGGTAACACAAAGGGGCACTGATGGTGCCCTGACCTTGTCTAATGAAGTTTGCTTGTTATGTGGATGAGCCATTTCCTGGAGCAGCTTTTCAGTCATCATGGTCAAATCTTTTGGTCTTTGATTCAGACTACCAAGTTGTTTTCCCAAGCAAGTAATATAAAAACAAAGATTTTATTTCTTCTCATTATAATACTGATTTTTTAAATGGGAGAATACCCCCTAGCAGTTTTGAAAATGACTAGGTTCTACTGTTGGATTCTCTTTCGTGCTTCTGTCCAGGTCACTACCTTTAGTTACATTTCTTTGAAATTCTGAAAAGTTCATTGCAATTTTCTTGAATGTTGGGGAGGCATGATGCTGCTAATGCCAGTGAAAAAGTCTGTCAGCCCGAAATAGAGATAATGTTCTTAGAAGAGTAGCCTGGCACCAATGAAGAAATATGACCTTGGCCTATGTCTGGATGCTCAGTGGTTAGAGGGCTTTGGGGTGGGAGGTTGATGAGTTTGCAGGCTTGTTAGAGCTCATTACTCAGACTGCAGGCCCAGCTCTGGTCAGTTGTCAATGTGCTTGCTGTGCGTTCCTTGTGTCCCGGTCACTTGAGAGTAAGCGTGGATAGAACTCTCTTTGCAAACCCCCAACTCAAATAGGTAGGATATTTATGGCTATATTTATAACTGCCCCAAGCCCATGCTTTAATCTGTACAGATTCACTGGAGGGAATTTTCAGAGAGAAATGATGTGGAAGGACGCATAGGAAAGGGGTCTCTTCATATATTTTATATTATTGCTCTGATCCGATCTGGAGAGATAGACATACAGCTGGTAGCAAATATGAGTCCAGGAGAAACTGGTTCTTTCAAGCTGGAAAAATGAGGATTTAAATGATTAACCTTTCAACTTACACTTACTGAGTACCTACTATGTACCCAGATCCTATTATAAGTACTAGGGATACATAACACACAAGAAAAAGTCCTTTTCCTCCAGGAATTTTCCTTCTAGTGCATTTTCTCATCCTCAGCTCTATTGATAGCCAGTGCTAGGTAACTCCTTTGGGGAGGCTGTCCTGGGCACTCTAGGGTGTTGAGCAACATTCAGGGCCTCTACCCACCACATGCCAGTAGAACATAGTCTAGTTGTGACAACCAAAAAAGGTCTCCAGACATTGCTGACTGTCCCCTGGGGGGCAAATTACCCCCAGATGTGAACCACTGTTTTAGTGTGATGAGAAAGGCCTATGATAACAAATGAACAATGACAAGTGCCGTAAAGAAGATCAACTAGGGCAGTGAATTTTGATTGTGTTGGTCTACTTTTAATCAGAGAAGGAATCACAGAAGGCCTCTCTGAGGAGGTGACATAGAGCAGACACCCAAATGCAGACACCTCCAGACATACAGTCGGCTTGCATTTTGTCATCTCCTCCTTTAAGACACTATATACTTTCCAACCCCCCTCCACCTTCAGCCCTTTTGTCTTGACTGCTATCATTCACTATCCTGCTTCTTCTGTGCTTTGCCTGCCAAGCCATAGCGCCTCCCCAATTTAGTTCTTCCCCCACCCCACCTTCATATGCTCTTTACCCAGAATGCTGTTATCCAATGCAATAGTCTTTAACTGATGATTCTGGCATAACAAAGGAGAACTAATGCTCAGGACAAGAATAAACTTAAAGTTGTTTATCAGACAACTGTTTCCAAAGTTCCTTGTCCTCCATATTATATGGCGCTCTCTCCCTCTCTTTCTTTCTCTCTCTTTGTCCTTTTCTCTCTCCCCTAATCCTGACCTGACACCATGTTCCCAGAGCTGCTGTCCCCTTAAAAAGAACCTTCCTCTTATTTCTTCCTGTTGAATTCATAACCCCCAACCCCTGCCTCTAGTGCTTCCAAGAATACACTAAAAACTCCTCTTACTTTATCATACAGAGTAGTTTATCCCTTTTAAACCACGACCTCTCTTATTCAGAGACATTCTATCTGCAAAGAGGCTTCCCAAACACAGGACAATTTCCCAAGATTGAAAAAGCAGCTACAGTAAGTTTTATTTATTTATTTTTAAGGTAGTAATTTTGCCATTCTGCTTCAAGACTGTGGCAATACTCATCCACTTATCCTCTGCAGTAAAAAAATAAAAATCACATGAAGATTCAAAATGAACTGTCTAATCCAGTCATATACTTGAGGGAGATCTGGATACCTTGCCAACCCTAGAATCAGAAAGATGATTTGATAATAACTAAAGTAAGGTATTACAGAAGGTTTTTGACTTGGTGAGTTTTCTAACTTATGGGGTCTCATGTTTTGGTGAAAGTGTGTGCGCTTTTTTAAAATAGAATTTATTTTTTAGAGCAGTTTTAGATTCACAGAGAAATTGAGTGGAAAGTACATGGTACCCTCTGTTCCCACACGTGCACAGCCTCTCCCATTATCAACATTCCCCATCAGAGTGGGACTTTTGTTACAATTGATGAACCTGCATTGACATATCATTATCACCCCAAATCCATAGTTTATACTAGGGTTCACTCTTGGTGCAGTACATTCTATAGGTTTGAAAGAATGTGTAATGACATGTATCCACCATTGCAGTACACAGAATAATTCTACTGCCCTACGTATCCTCTGTTCTCCTTTTCATCCCTCCCTGCCTAATTCTTGGCAACAACTGATCTTTTTACTGTTTCCATAGTTTTGCCTTTTCCAGAATGTCATATAACTGAAATTGTACAGTATGTAACCTTTTCAGATTGTCTTCTTTTGCTTATTAATATGCATTTAAGATTCCTCCATGTTTTTTCATTGCTTGATAACCGTTTCTTTTTAGTGCTGAATAATATTCCATTGTCTGGATGGACCAGTTTATTTATCCAGTCACCTACTGAAAGACGTCTTGGTTGCTTCCAAGTTTTGGCAATTATGAATAAAGCTGTTATGAGCATCCATGTGCAAGTTTTTGTGTGGACATAAATTTTTAATTCATTTGGGTAAATACCAAGGAACACAGTTGCTGGATGATATATGCTAAGAGTATATTTATAAGAAACAGCCAAATGGCCTTCCAAAGTGGCTGTACCACTTTTAAAAGAGAGTTTCTGTTGCTCCACATCCTTGTCAGCACTTGGTGTTATCAGTGTCTTGGACTTTGGCCACTCTGATAGGTGCATTGTGGTACCTCATTGTTATTTTAATAAGTCTCATCTTTAAATTGGAAATAATAACACATAATTCACAGAGTTGTTCTAAGGATTAAATGAAATAACATGTGTAAAACATGTAGTCAATGCCTACCATTTTAAAAGATGCTTAATAAATATTAGTTTCCTTGTCCTCCCTCTGCTTGGTTAAACCTTACAACTTACGAATTCTTTCTCATTCGGTTCCTATTCTTTCCCCTGAGTTTAGCATTACTGTTGTTATACGTGTCTAAGTTTCTTAATACTGTTTAGTTTTTGGAGGCTGCCATAGGTATAGTAAGGCTTTAAGATGCACAGTTGTGGTTAAAAGAACCAGGCTTTCACTTAGACTCTACTCCTAATAGTCTAGAACCAAAATCAATTTAGTAATAATCTTAAGGATAAATATTATTTTAAATAAAATTGGTCAATTTCAGAAATATACAAACAGCTCGTATTGCTCGATATCAAAAAAACAAACAACTCCATCAAAAAATGGGCAGAAGATCTAAATAGACATTTCTCCAAAGAAGACATACAGATGACCAACAGGCACATGAAAAGATGCTCAGCATCGTTAATTATTAGAGAAATGCAAATCAAAACTACAAATGAGGTATCACCTCATACCGGTCAGAACGGCATCATCAAAAAGTCTATAAATAATAAATACTGGAGAGGGTGTGGAGAAAAGGAACCCTCCTACACTGTTGCTAAGAATGTAAATTGGTGCAGCCACTATGGAGAACAGTGTAGAGGTTCCTTAAAAAAATAAAAACAGAGATACCATATGATCCAGCAATCCCATTCCTGGGCATATATCAGGAGAAAACTATGATTCAAAAAGATACATGCACCCCAGTGTTCATTGCAGCACTATTTACAGTAGCCAAGACATGGAAGCAATCTAAATGTCCATCGACAGATGAATGGATAAAGAAGATGTGGTACGTATGCATAATGGAATATTATTCAGCCTTAAAAAGAATGAAATAATGCCATTTGCAGCAACGTGGATGGACCTAGAGATTATTATGCTAAGTGAAGTAAGTCAGAGAGAGAAAGACAAATATCATATGGTATCACTTATATGTGGAATCTAAAAAAATGATGTGAATGAACTTATTTACAAAACAGAAATAGACTCACAGACAGAAAACAAACTTACAGTTACCAAAAGGAAAGGTGGCGGAGGAGGGGTAAATTAGGAGTTTGGTATTAAAATATACACACTACTGGGCTCCCCTGGTGGCGCAGTGGTTGAGAGTCCATCTGCCGATGCAGGGCACATGGGTTCGTGCCCCGGTCCGGGAAGATCCCACATGCCGCAGAGTGGCTGGGCCTGTGAGCCATGGCCGCTGAGCCTGCGCGTCCGGAGCCTGTGCTGCGCAACGGGAGAGGCCACAACAGTGAGAGGCCCGCGTACTGCAATAAATAAATAAATAAATAAAATAAAATATACACACTACTAATAAAATAGATAAACAAGGACCTACTGTATAGAACAGGGAACTATACTCAATATCTTATAATAACCTGTAATGGAAAAGAATCTAAAAAAGAATATATATATGTAACTGAATCACTTTGCTGTACCGCTGAAACTAACACAGCATTATAAATCAAATATATTTCAATAAAAATTTTTAAAAGATCATGAGACCAAATAAATAAATAAATGTTAAAAATTGGTCAATAAATAAGTCATTTCCTTAAATATAAAATTTAAGGCTCTTAATTTTAAAACGTCCCATGTTACACTTTCTTTTGCTAATACCAGTGACAGCAGCTCGAGTAAATAATCACTGTCACTGTTGTTTCTGTGTGCT